AGTCTCCCATTTAACAGTTACTACAAATGTTTCCCTATGACATTGGTTAACAATCTCACAACACATCAACAATATCCTTACTCTACTTTGTGTTCCCTATCATCAGCTTCCTACTCGCCTTTGGGCAGTGTTTCTCGATTGCACACGGGGTTGCAGGAGTCGGAGGCAGCTGAGAACAGCCATGAGAGCTTTGTTAATTCTGGCTGTCAGGGTGGGGGTGGGGGGGCAGTGTGTGGCCTTCCCGCTCTGAAAAGGGAAGGGCCTTCTGGGGTGTCACAATGAAGAGGGTATGACTGGGATGTAGTTGGGAGGTGCTGCAGGGAGGTGGAATATTTCTCAAGGGGCAGGACAGTCCTTTGCATCAAAGAATTGTACCCAGAATGCCCTTAGTGTGCCCACTGAGAAGCACCCTAACCCCACATCCACTCTGTGTCCGTAGCAGTGGTGAGGGCAGGCCCACTTCATCACCACATGACTGATCAGTAGGGATCATTGTACTCCACACATTTCAAAGTCACAGCCACTGAAACGCAAACATCTCTCAGCAAGAAAATGGAGGCGCAGTGGTTTTCAACCAGGGCTTTGAGCTGGTTCCTTGGGGTTCAAACCCCTGCTGAGAATGTGCATTTCTAACAAGTTCCCAGGGGATGCTGATGCTGCTGGTTAGGGACCAGTTCTGAGAACCACTAGTAGAGCAGCGGTTCTCAAAATCTATCATATGTGAGAATCACCTGGGGATCTTGTTAAAGTGTAGATTCTGATTCAGTATATCTGGAGTGGCAGTGCAAATTCTCAGGAAGCGTTGGAGCAATGGGCTGGTTCAAAGCCCTGTTCTCAACCTCAGGTCTGCATCCGAGTTTCCTCTGAAGCTTGAAAAACAAGTGCTGCAGATGAGGGAGCCATGCTCACAGGTTCTGCCTTGGTTGTTCGGAGCCGGGCCCTGGGCGCTCGTTCCCTCGACTCCTCCCTCCTGAGATGGAGGCAGCCTCTGGAAACCCTTTCTCTGCTCTGCTGAGAACGTGCGAGATGCAGAGGGTCTAAATAGTAGTCTGATAGGAGGTTCCCCTCCTGACTACAGGGTGAAGAGCCCACCTGGGGAAGAAGAAGTGGAGTGGTTCAAGCACAGGCAGGTGTGAGGCGCCTTCTAAGTGCCCGAGCCGAGTCACTGGCGGCATGGCTGATCCGTTCTCGTTCCAGGTCCGCACCCCACTCAGCTGTGTCTCCCTAGTGCTGACATGACACGTCTGAGGATGTAGACGCGTGTTTCCCAGCGCCGTCTGCCACCAGACGCTGCCAGCCCCGGCTTCACACGGCTGTTGTCTGGGAGCCGTCCTGCTCTTCAGGCTTCTGCTTTTCTTAAAGACGCGGTTTGGGTCTATTCTTTTAAGGAGGTGACTTCAAAATTACTTCTCTGTAAAAACACAACCAGCGGATTCCACTGAGATATCTTCTCCCTCCACCCAATTTTACAACTTCTTTTTTGGAGGGGTACCCAGGTTGTTAAGTGCTCAGCTGCTGATAGAAAGGTTGATAGTTCGAACCCACCAGCGGCTCTGTGGGAGAAAGACCCAGCGGTCTGCTCCCGTAAAGGTTACAGCCTAGGAAACCCTATGGGGCACTTCCAGTCTGTCATATGGGGCCGCTGTGAGTCCAAATCAACTTGCTGGCACCTGGCAACAACACCGCAGGCTGTATTTCATCTTTTCTACTAAACTGCACGTTTCCTTGTAGGTAAGAACCTTGAGCCCTTCCGCAAGTCTAGCACAGCGCCCTCGACAGTCAGCACATATCAACTGGGTCAATATACTCATTCCTTCCTTCCTTTAACACACCTGTACTGAGGGCCTGACGCGAGCCGGGCATGGCTGAGGCTCTGGGTGCAGCCTGACGAGACAGACAGAGTCGTTCTCTGCGTGATGTGTACCTGGTCGTGGGCACGGGAGGACGGCCCGAGAACAGGCAGGGAGCAGGTCGTGGATAACTCGGCAATGTTGTTAGCGGCCATTGAGTTGGCCCCCGACTCATGGTGACCCCGTGTGTGTCAGAGTAAAATTGTGCTCCATAGGGTTTTCAATGGCTGAATTTTCAGAAGCAGGTCTCCAGGCCTTTCTTCAGAGGCCCTTCTGGGTGGACTCGAACCTCCGACCTTTCGTTTAGCAGTGAGTGCCTTAACCACCCAAGGACTCCACTTGCAGTATACTAGGTAGCTGAGGTTGGGTAACGCAAGGGCAGATAACTGGGTTATCAGCCATTTCTGAAAACTGAACATAAACCCTGTGTAGCCAAGTTGTCACTAGGTGGATTAGATACCCCGGGGAAAATCGTATTGTCTAAAATAGAATTCCATACAGTAAAACCAAACTGTAGGTTAGCTGATAGCGCAAGCCGGCCCTGCGTCTTGATACCGTGCCGTGAAAGGTGTCCCTCTCGGTGCTGAGAGGCAGCTGCCCTATTCAAGCAGCTGGTCCCCAGTGAAAGCTGCTGGAGGAGATTCAAGGTAAGAGGTAGAGGAGACCTTGGGGAGCAGGCCTAGCTCTGTCTGCTTCTAGATGGGGTTCCTCAACCTGTTTAGAAGGCGCCAGAGAAAGGCTGCCTGCTGCTGGGCGGGGCCCATTCTGCCTGTTTGGGTTCATGGTGTCTGCTGGGCTGTGTCCTTAGGGCCTTGGTGCCATGGGTATCAGACTGTCGCGCACAAGCAACGGGCGAACAGGGGTGGGGTTCTCCGAGACGCTGCAGTGATGACTACCCCAGTTATTCCCACGTTACTGTCGATGGTTTTCAGAGCCTGCAAATGCAGTGCACGGTTAAAACTCGGGTGTCTTTTCAGAATACCGTGTTCAGAAAGGGACATCATTTCAGCAAGCTGTGGTTTTTGCAGGGCTTCAAACTGGTTCATTCAGGGTTGACCCTCTGCTGAGAATGTGCCTTTCCGCCCCAGATGTGCCGCATCGGAATCTACAGTTTAACAAGATTCACAGATGATTCTTATGTATTAGATTTACGTATGGATCTTGTTTTAAATGTGGATTCTGATTCAGTATACCTGGGGTAGAAGTGCACGTTCTCAGCAGGGGGTCGAAGCTGGGTTTTTTTTGTGAGGTACCAGAGGCCCAGTGACCTGAAGTTATTCTCCCACAAAGTCTCCTAACACAACCGCCCCCGTCTTCTTCCCTCTGTGCTTTTCAGGCAATGGATTTGGAAGTTCCCGTGTTGGCAAGGAACATTCCCGGAAACTCTGCCGTGGTGAAGCACGAAGTCACAGGACTGCTGTTCTCAGATCCTCAGGTGAGCAGGAGTGTCCCCTCTGACTTGTCGGAGTCATCTTCATGTATGTTTAACTAGGGCGTCTGTGGTGGCCTCATCTGGGTAGCTGTCACGGGGTCCCGAGTGCTGTGTGCAAGGTACGTGCCAGTGATTCATTCCGAGTGTGCACGATACCAGTGTCTACCTGCTGGTAACTCACCCAGGTGTAACATTGTTATGTAAACACTGCCCCAGGGGAGGAATGCCCCACAGTCAGAGCTGAGTAGACAGCAGTTATTGCCCCCCCAGGAAAGGCACTGTTACGACCTGTATCTGTTGTCAAGGAGCCCTGGTGCCACAGTAGTAAAGCACTCGGCTGCTAACCGAAAGGTCAGCTGTTCCAGCCCACCTAGCAGCTCTGCTGGAGAAAAACCTGGTGATCTGCTCCTGTAAAGACTACAGCCTAGAGGACTCTATGGGGCAGTTCTTCTCTGTCCCATGGGGTTGCTGTGAGTCGGAAACCAGCTCAAAGCAACAAACAGCAACATCCACAACCTGCCTTTTGTCGTTGTTGGCTGCTGTGGTATCAACCCATGACCCACGGCCACCCCACACACTATGGGATTGGACCATTGTGCTCCATGGGGTTTTCACTGGCTGGTGTTTGGACGTAGATTGCCAGGCCTTTCTTCCTAGTCTGTCCTTTATAGCTCAATTTCAGAGCAAAAAAAAGCACTAGAACTTGGTCGGCGAGCATCTGAACAGCAATCCTTTGTAAGTGGGTGTGTGAGGCGGAGCGGGAAAGGAAAGCAGTGTGGCGCCCCTAATGTCGCACAGCCCCTCAGGAGGTGGCCCTTTAATATGTGCGCTCGCCTGTGTGATACATGCACGTCGCGTCCGGGGGTTACTGGCGTAGCTGTCCTACCCGGCAGGCCTAATCCCATAGCACCCGCAAAGGTCAGTGGGAGGCTTGTTTTGATTCCAAAGCTTTAATGTCAGCCTAACAAAGGAAGTTGAAGTAGAGCTGTTAGTCTCCTGGGCGGGGGGAGACTGTGTTTTTTAACGCACTTTGTAGAAGCGCGCCAGACACGGATGTCTCGCGCGGGTTTGTTTTCTCTGAGTCTCGGTCAGATGCTACCTAGCACAGGTGGGAGCTGTGACTTTAAAAACACGCGTGCGTTTTAATAAGTCAGGTCTGTGGCCACTTTCACCTGAACTAAGACCCTCAGATGGAGTTAGCCACCGGGTGGGTGCCGGATTTGGGAAGATACTTTCAAACGTGCGCGTATAAATCAGAGCCAGCCTCTTGTTGATGGAGAAAGGGCCTCCACGCTGAGGGCCGGCGTGTAGGATGCGTCTGGTCTTGACACGGTGCTGCTGGAACCCACGCTGGACGTGCAGTTGGTTGTTCTGAGGTGGTTTCCTGTCCCCTAGCTGAGATGACAACGGGACGGGCTGCACAAAGGTGAAGCGGCCAGTTGTTCACGTGAGACCGTGCGCGTGACGCCCCACTTACCTACTTTTCAACACGGAAAGCACGTTCTGCGTGCACTTAGCGTGAGGGTGTGAAGGGCTGGTAGCCGGCTCCCCAGCCCCTTACTTTGTTCTGCAAACTGTTTATCCGTGGAGCCGTCCACAGCAACAGCGGGACTCTCCTGGAAGCACGGCGTCTGCTCCCAGCTCCTCTCTGTCGGGCAGTTTCTTCTGGTCACCAGGCCCTGTCTCCCCCTCTCGCTGTCCCGGTCCTTGTGTTATGAAGTGGGGTCATTTTTGTGCTCGGTCAGGTTAGAGATGTTGCAGCTCGTGCCTCTGAGGGTGGGGTGGGCGCCGCACACATCTGCAGAAAGCCCCTGCAGGAGTGCTCACCTCTCGCCTGGAATGTCAAAGACTGAGACATCTGCAAGGCTGCGTGGACGCGTAGGTCGGCAGCGCAGCATCGGCTGCCCCAGGAAGTGCCGGCTGGTCTGGGCGGTGTCGGCTAGCCCAGGAAGCAGGAGTTCCTTCCTTAGGGAGGACATGTGTGATTAAGTAAATGCACGGTGATGGGTGGAGGGAAGGGAAAAGCCCGAGCCAGTGTACGTGAGACAGGTGTTGGGCCAGGAGGTGGCCACTCCAGTGCCTGGAGGGGACATAGGTCCACATACCCATGTGAGGGAGTGGTCCCACAATGTGACCCCCCACTGCATGCCACCAAGGGGACTTATAGGCCAGAGCTGCAGCCATCCCCAAGGCTGAAGGGAGGCTGGGCATCCCGAGTGCTGCGTCTACATGCTGGTAACTCAACCAGTTTTTAACATCCTTATGTAAACACTGCCCCCGTGGGAGGCTTGCCCTGCAGGCCCCCAGCCGGTGGCCTCTGCTGTGGACCCGGGAGAGCCTTTCCCTCCTGGGGAGTGGCACTGTGATTCAGGGAAGGGGGCTGTGACCCCGGGTCGGGAGTCGCTCTGCACTCATCCTGAGCTCGTTCCAGACGAGAGGAGGTGGGCTGCCCTGACGTTCTCATACGTGGTTCATTGGGGTGGGGGGACAGCTCTAGGACCCTGGAGGCCAGAAAAACTAATCTGGACATGATAGGACCAGAGTAGGGTCTCTCTCTTTCAGGAGGAGAATTAACACTTACCAGTTCCTGCCTGTGCACTCTACCCCCCGTCGGTCAGTCTGTCGTACTTTGGTGGCTTGTGCTGCTGTGATACTGGAAGCCAGGCCACCAGTATTTCAATACCACCAGGGTCACCTGTGCTGGACAGGAGGAAAGGCCTGGTGATCTATTTCTGAAAATCAGCCAATGAGAATCCTATGGATCACAACAGAATATTGCCCGAATTGTGCTAGAAGATGAGCCCCCTGGGGTGGAAGGCACTCAGGATGCACAGTGGCCACCACCGTGGACTCGAGCAGACCAGGGATGGTGAACGTGGCACAGGCCCGGGCAGCAGGTCATTCTGTTGTTCATGGGCTCGTCCTGAGTCAGAGCCGACACCAAGGCATCTGCTAACAACAGCACCACCACCACTAGGGAAATCTGGAAAAATGGGACGTTTGCTTTGGGGAGCTCATAGGGGAACACCTATTGAAATGAGTGCAAAGTCATGTTTTAGATTTTTTACAATGATAATTACACATATGCGTTAATGGCAGGAACAAGATAATCTCTATTTTATACAGCTCAGCCCTGGAAAACTTTAAGTGAAGCTTTCCATACCTAGTGAATGTTGATTTTTTTTTTTTTTTTTTAATATTTTATTGTACTTCAGGGTGAAGGCTTACAGAACAGATAGTTTCTCATG